AGGGGACCAGTTTTAACACTAGTGTGCATCCGACTGGAAACAAAAGGGTCAAGTCCTAACACGCAGTTAATCCGAAGGTGACATTGACGTGATGAATGTCACGGGTTCATTGTGTTGCCGGTCCACCTGGGGAACATTGACATTGGTTGATGAACCCGTAGCAGTGTGTTACGGTACTCACGCCCGGGGCTCATTCCCGACCTCCGAAAGCAGATGCACGTTCTCATTAAATGTTATCTTTCTCTGTCTTTTACGGACTGACTGTTATTGAGAATTCGGAAGCTAAATGTTGCCCGGCATAAGCTTCCACTTTTGATCTCTGTTGTTGCATGGGGCACATACGGCACCGTCGAGTGTTCGCTGTTGGCTGGTCGGTCGAGTGAGTGAGACGGAGTGGACTTGCTGACGAAACTCGCAGTGAATTCTTATTTGGGTATTTTGGTTGAAGGGCTTACTTTATTTGTGGTTCTCAGTCTTTAGTGGGCAGGTCCGAGGATTTCCGTGGAACCCATTACTGGGAAAGGAATGCCTTAAGATTTGACTTTATACACTGCTGACTACGTGCTTGCTAGTAGCGGCTTTTGGCTTTCTATGGACTTGCCCTATTTCCTGTAGTTTTTTTGGGGGGTAAGGATCGTACATGTGCCCCGTCCCTCTCTCCAAACTTTTATTTCTTTTCCTTGCCTTCTTATTTCATTTTCAGTGCATGTACCTTAACATATACCCGTCCGTGTGTTTTTGCTTAGCACCTGTTTGGCTTATTTTTCGCCCGTGTACGCAATGTGGCCCTCCTGGTAACAGGCTTTTTTGTTAACCGTTCTCTCGATGTCTTGGTGCGGTGTAAGGTGCGCCGTCGTTCGCCTTCTTATTACGGCGCCGGGTGTTCTAGGCACTAACAAATAAATAAACACAGCAGAACTAAGTCGCTCCTACATAAAACATCGAAGCGCCTAACATTGCCTGTGAATTCACATTGCCCGTCTACTGGTTTACATCCAATGCGACCTACAGTTGTTTCGGTTTCTTTTTCACTGCCTGTGGCCTTTGCAATGTTGCCGTCTTCGCGTGTCATCGTAATAGCATGCATACTTATCGCCAGGTGACCTTGCACAGTACTTGTTTGGCGGCGGGGGCTGCCAACGTTGTTTGCACTGAGGGCCTGTAACCTGCGTTGTTGCTGAAACCGGTAAAGCTACGTCAGGAAAGTCTAACAGTCTCCTCTCTCCCTCGGGTCCCACAATGCGAAACAACCTCGTGACGCTATTTTTGTACATAATTTTTCTCACCATTAGCGTCAAATGTTGTCTCGGTAGTAACCCAGCGCTGAACTTCTGATCACCTAATCTAGTCTCGTGGCTTTAGTGTCGTATTTGATGGTGAATAAGTGACGTGAGGCAGCAGACATTTCCTGACTGACGCAACCCAGTTTTGCTTCTCTCTCTTCATCTAACCATCCTCTGTATAATCGATCTCATTTGTGTTTCACTATTTTAGCACTCACGATGGCAAATCCAATTCCTCGAAGGTAGGAGACCCTAACTCCGCACAGAAGCAGTTAAAAGGTAAGCAGACATTTTGCTGCCTGAAACTATCATCTCCTTTCTCTCTGCATCACTGATTTCGCTTCTTGGTTTAGCGTGTAGGTGTTATCATTTGGCCCCCGCGATTGCGTCAGTGCTTGGATAATTGCCGATTAGCTGCATGCGAGAGATCCAAGTCCGGATGACTGCTAAATATGACGTTATGCCAACCCCCAACCCCACCCAATTACGGATATTGGGGTAGTGTCTGCAGTTCGGTTCGTCTGCTACGAGTAAGCAGCAGTTGTGTGCCGCCATCCCGAAGACGGGGGTGAAGTACTCGGTTAACCGGGTTTTGTCAAGCTCAAATCTAACACGGAATCTTGGCAGGAACGAATGAACTTGATGCCGCGCATGCTCGGTTTGCTGCCAGTTTTACTGATGCTCCGTTCCCCCTCGCGTGGTTGAACTCTACCGCCTCTAGATTTGTTCGGGGTTCGTCACATGGTTACGTCCAGCTGAGTAGCGATGACAATTTTGAAGCACCTGTCCCTTAGTTGTTTGATTCCAACTCGTGGATTTAGGCTATTGCGTAGGCATGGCCCCTACGCCTGATTCAGTGAGCCAGCAGTTTGCCTCTTATGATCCTTCAATTACCAACCAGACTGTCCTGAGGTATCCTGCGCCCAGCAGGACAAGCCAAGCGACAGTAATGATCTTGCATCCGGCTTCATTTGTCTGCATCTAATCTGATCTCTCGGATTTATACGACCTTATGACCTCTGCGAGACCGGTGGATTGAATTTGGTTTAGTGTCATTTAGCCCCGGGGGAATGTGGAGCCAGCTGTTTTTTTTATCGCTATCCGAAGTCTATCTGCGGGCGCTTTTCGCCCTAGGGCCTGCTGACACTTGCTGCGCTCGTATAGTGCACCTTTATCACTTTAATGCCCCCTGGCCTCGTTTTAGCGCTAGCCTAATGGACCACTTCTGTCGGTTTCATCATTTTTCTCCCTACTGGTTCACCCCATCATCATCAAAGTACCGCCAGTAATCGTCTGCTCATTTACGATTATGGTCGTGTGTCTTCTCAATCCCCGCTCCTCCCCCTCCACCCCCTACTCTGTCCCCGCCGTTTGCGTGGTTTTCTTACGCTTATGTTCTTTTTTTTTCAAACTTCAGAGCTGAGTACAGAGGCTCGACTACTGCTGCTGGATCGGGCGATCAAGTCGACTTTAATTCAAGGCCAGGAGGACATTCAGGCCTGTCTGCGGCGGCTGGAGTCCCTGGAGAAGTTGGACGTCTCTCTGCCCATCCTGGCTAAATGCTGGACGGTTATTGAAACGTTGCGCAAGGTTTGTGTACCAGCTTCTCTGACCAAATTGATTGAGTAAACGCCCCCCCCACAACCCTGGTACAGCATACTTCAGCATCAACGGGGTGTAGTATAGAGGTCAACGCTAGGGTGAGTTAAGATGCGGGTAGCTCTCAAACAACAAATCTAACCAACACAGTGTGAAACTGCAGTTATAGGTGATAATTGAAGTCAAATCTAATAACCCGTCGCGTATACAGTGTGCTGCGAGAGCTGCAAGCAAAATACCGCAATTTGAGAAAAACTC